AACAATAATTAATAATAATATAAAACAATTGTAACAAGATACTATAAGAAAAGCTATGTAACAGAGGATTTATTCTTACTATAGATCTTATCAGGCACAAGAGATTAACAATATATACCTAAGAATAAAATAAAATAATTAAAACAAGATACTGTAAGAAAAAGTGATATGACTGATACCCTATTCATTTTTACCAGCATCTGTTTAAATTTTTCTTTTCTTAAAGTAAACATTTTACATTCCGTTTTTACCAGTCAGTTGTCTTGAATTCTCCTGTCATTATAAAATAAAAGTTAATAAAGCCTTGTTTATTTCTCAGTTTAGTAGCGGGAAATTAAACTTCCACAAAGGAAACATCGTATAAGAGAGGTTACTGTAGTCCCAGGTTTCGCTGTTCTCCTGCTAATGTTCCAGTTTCGACAAAATAACAAGAGAAATAGGGATAAAGGGGAATGAGAGAAAAAACTATAGGCGATTTAGTTGCCAGTTTTCCAAGGCATGAAACCTACCTACCTTGTAATTATAAATCGTCGCATTTCTACAACAGCGATTAAACTATCGCTTGCTTTTCTGCTTCTGTTTTTCTTTTCTTATTAACAGACACAAATACCTGTAAGGCCCATCCATCTTCAGATGATCTTACCCACAAGAAATAGGGTCTTATTCTAATTTTTTTTTTTTTTTTTTTTTTTTACGCGTTTCACCCCAAGCAAGGCGGGAAGCCGCTGGGACGCAAGGGTTTACAGAAAATTTGGAGCAAGATCAGATAGGAGTGATAGAAGAAAGGATGAGGAGAGGGGTAGTGGATAGATCAAGGCAACTGGAGATGTCGATTGACATTACATTTGAATAGCTGGAGATTATAACTCTCAGGGAAACTGGAATAGGGAAGGGAGTTCCACAGGCGAGAGGTGCGAGACATGAAGCTATTGGAGTAGAAGAGACGGCTACATTTAGTAGTTTCGACAGTGAAAGGGTGAGAGCGGGATGCCAGCCTCGTAGGGCGCTTGAACTCATGAAGTCTGGGAACCAGTGAATGCAGTTCCTCGGATCAATTACCATGAAAGTATTTGTAAAACAGACAGAGAAAGCGATGGCGCGTCCGTGAGAGTGTGGCTGTAGACGAGACGCCAGGGCAGGGCCAACTACATTGCATATCCGCCTCTGGAGCCTATCAATAACCCCGAGGCAAACAGAAGGGGCTCCAGACCATATATAGCAGCAATACTCCATGCAAAGGCGAATTGCGATTGATGCCGCCATTAAATTTGTTGTTTTCGTCTATTGTTTTTTGTTGTTACTGTTGCTGCTGATTTTGTTACTTTTTTATCGTCTCACCGCATCAAGGCAATAAAGCCACTAAGACGCAAAGAGTAATCGATTGATAGAGAATATGAGAAAAAATATACTCTTAATGAGAAAGGACAATAAAAGAACAAGAAATAAGAAGACAGACGATAAATAACGATTGCATTTCAATTTTTGAAGATTAATGTTGACTTGGAAGCAAGAATTCGAAAGAGAGTTCCACAAGGGAGAAGTGCAATAGAAGAAACTGTTAGCATAGAACTTACGGTTACATCTAGCCATTTCAATTATAAAATGATGAGACCTTGCCGCCAATCTAGGGTTGTGCTTAAATCCATAAATTCTAGGTACCGTAGCGGAAATTAATACGTATTTTGAAAATACTGAAATATGGCACAAGGCCAAAAGATTGGTTAGGGAAAGGCTGGTCTTCAACCTGTTTTATCTTAAACTTAGCAAGCCACAATTACTGACCCAAACACACCACAGCATTCCTTACGCTAAATCAACACATTTTTACTTACCATTGTTATTACACTCACCATAATGCCTCACAGTCTCTATGTAGGCCTAACTATTACTACAGACACCATAATACCTCACCGTCTCTGTGTAGTCTTAACTAGTTCCCATATGTACAATTTGTCTGTGAAGGGTGGGATATAAAATATTAACTTCACCCCAGTGGAAAGTTCATCAGAACAATTACCATGAAAGTATTCATAGAAACCGCACAGTGAAGCTACGTTACGGTGACGGGAAAGGGACTAAAGCCGAAATGCCAGGTCAGGGACAATAAAATTACAGATACTTATTTGGATTTTGTCAAGAATCTATCTCCAAATATATGCATCTGATCAAAACCAAAATGGCAGCGCCCATAAGGATCGCCATCTTTATGGTCATTTATTTGTTGTTGATTTTGTTGTTGTTGTCTCTGCTGCTGCTGCTTCTGTTGGTATTACCGCATAAATACATTGGATGACGATTTTACTTCAAATTATCTTAACTGATGTGAGACAGGTCTTATTGCAATGTGTCTGTCTTAAGGTCTGCAGAATATACGGAGCTAGCACTTCTGACTGCTCCATACTTTCAGCCTTGTGCCACACCTAAGCTACGCTTAAAATGTCCATATACATAACTAGGAATTGCCATTTTTTGGTTTTTTTACAGGAATTCATAGTCATTCTTTATTCTTTCTTTTTTCTTTCTTTCTTTCTTCTCTCCTTTCTGTCTCTTCTAATTAGCATCTTCCCTCCGTTTCCCCTCCTCTCTCTCCCTCTCTCTCTCTCTCTCTCTCTCTTCTCTCTCTTTCTCTCTTATGGCATTTAAAATCCTTCCATATGCCATATTCTAAATGGGGGTATAATTTCATTAAAAGAAAATTAAATTGAGCTTTTGAATTAAATGTGGTAAAAATTAATGGACGAAGGAAAACATTTAATTGCTCACAAAAGATTAATTACATAAATGCAAATTCGAAAACGTCATAAGGCACGCCATTATCCGACATCAGCAAGGTTACTTGGCAATACCTCGGCAAAATACTTCAACGCTCTCTTACGTAATGTCTTCTATCATAAAATATTATAGATAAAATATTGCAAATAAAAAAAAGAATCATTATGAAAGACTTGTCAATAAATCAACTTCTTAGCTTCGTCTGACAAAACTGCTGCAGTAGCATGGGCATTAAGTAATTTTTTTTAATTATTCACTCTAAGCAAGGCAATAAAGCCGCTAAGATACAAAGAATTGTTTAGTATGAGAGAATATAAGAAAAAAGAAAACATTATTCAAGTGAGAGAAGAAAAATGAACAGCAGTTAATAAGGGAGACAGGAGATAAGGATTGATATTGAATTTAAATTTAAGTTAAAAAAGACAGGAGAATTATGATGGGAAACTAAACATGGACGAAGAAGCCTGTTCATTTTACAGATACAATGCTGTTCGATAAAAATGACTCACGTGATTTTTTTACTAAAAATATTTTTGTCTATTGTTTTTTGGGTTAAAATAATGTTTAATCTTACTAATATAAAGACCCTTTCCCGATCACCTAAGAAAAAAACTTTATTCACCCTAAGGTATTCTATTGATGATTTGGATATAAATGAGATTCAGGAAAAATATCTGTGCAAAAAAAGTGACTCAGATATTGCATTCTAATGATTAAACTGGTAAATTTAAAGAACTTTTGACAAAATATTGAAAACTATTTTACAATACACTCAGAACAATATTCTAGAGAATTCTAGAACAGCTTAAATTAAATCTATTCCAGAATATTCCAGAAAGCCTCATACAGTATAACAACAGCTTGAAATAGCCACTCAAGTCACTAACCAGATGAAAGGGTACAAACACACATCAGAACCACTTAAGGCATCTATTATTGCCCTCTCAAAAGCAGACAAGTCTACGAGAGAAATTGCAGAAATTGCTATAACCTCGTAATCAACTGTCTCTCGAGTGCTTAGGGCACATAATGGTGCAACTCCTGCTTCAAGGAAGGAAACAAGGGGACGAAAGAAAAAGATTGATGATAGAACTGGCAGGGTAATCAAGAGAGAAGTTGCGAAGAATAGGACTATAACTAGCCAAGAAATTGCAGCCAGTCTAAGCGAAGAGCAAGGTGTTAGTCTTGCCTCGTCAACACTCCGTCAGAACAAGGCTACAAATCTTGTACACGAAGGTTTAAGCTGCTAATAAGCAAAGCTAACAAAGTCAAGAGACTTGAATGGACTCACTATTACAAAAGTTTCACCGTAGAAGACTGGAAGAATGTTCTCTTCTCCGATGAAACGAAAGATGTGCTAAATTCAAAGGATAAGCGATCTAAAATCCGAAGAAGAAGCTTTGAAAGCTCTTTAAATTTAGCAGTAAGTACTGTCAAGCATCCATTCAGTATAATGTTCTGGAGGATGCTTTTCTTTTCATGGAAATGGTTTCTTAAAACCTATTGAAAAGACCCTCAGGAGCGAGCAGTACAAGTTAATTTTAGAGTCTAGCTACTTCGGCTGAAAGGGTGCAAATCGACCCCACCAAGCTCATTTTTATGCAGGATAATGCTCCCTGTCACAAATCAAAATTGATGAAGGAATACTTTGATGAGAAGCAGGTGAGTGTTATGACATGGCCGCCCCAATCTTCTGACCTCAACTCCATAGAAAACTTATGGAGCATTATAAAGTACAGGCTCTCGAGAAAGCAGTTGAGGAACAAAGAGGATTTGATTGTGAATTTCATATCCGAATGGAATTCAATGCTTAGAGATGAAATTTTCCAGAACTATTATTACCTATTATAAATAAATTATACATCTATTATTCTTTATTTAAAGCTGTTCGGTTATGTTTCTATTGATTACTAGTTGCAGGAAATAAGTGAGTCACTTTTTTTTGCACAGAGTTTTTCCCTAAATCATATTTATATTCAAAATTATAATTATCAATAGATTACCTTAAGGTGAATAAACTTTTTTACTCGGTGGTCGGGAAGGGGCCTTTATATTAGTAAGATTAAAAATTAGTTTGACCCCAAAAACAATAGACAAAAAATATTTTTAGCATCAGGTGCGTCACTTTTATCGAACAGCACCGTGTATATTATCTAGGGTGCAGAAAATGTCTTAAGCTTTGTCATGTTTGCTCTTTAACCACAACAATTAAGCAAATAGTTTCTTACCGGATCTATAAGCTGTGAAAAGGAAGCGTATCTTAGGCATCAGACGGATGGTTTTGCTAAATACTCTTAGGTATATTCTGTTAGTCGAAGTTGAAATTGTCTGGAAATTCTTGGCATCGCAATGTTTTGCCAGCCGGGATTCTACCACTGTTCGGCCATCATAAACTTCGATAAAGTTCAAGTCACACTCTTCTGGTTTGTACATATCCACAGACAAAGGCCGGAGAGTTATCTGCAGAAAAGAAGATAAAACATAAATATAAAATATATTTTCGTTTTGAGAACATATAATGCAGCCTATATAATGCTACAATTTGGAACCTATATAATTCTCTCTATCTATCTATACACACACACACACACACATATATATATATATATATATATATATATATACACCCACACACACACATCTATCTATCTATCTATCTATCTATATATATATATATATATATATATATACACACAAACACACACAAACACACACACACACACACATATATATATATATATATATATATATATATATATATATTCAATTAGTTACTTTTTTTTTAATTTTTTCAGATATTAAACATTTTGTGGGATGGACAATTATGCTGTTACACGATTTGGACAATTTTGCTATTACACCCGGTATATATATATATATATATATATATATATATATATATATATATATATATATATATATATATATATTAAACAGAATGTTTAATATCTGAAAAAAAACACTGAACAAATTGAATTTCTTTTTTCCAGGTTTTCAGATAAAATGTTTAGCCATCTTGACACCATCTGTCCAAAGAATCATTGGAAAACACTTTGAGTTATTCAGCTAGAAAGAGAACAGGTTAAAATCGTTTTGTGTCAGCTCCACTGTATCTTCCCAAATGAGAGGGAAAAGATTATTCAGGTCTTCAGTAATGGTACCAACATTCAGAATGTGCCTTCCATCTTCAAAGTCCATTCAAGAACCGACAACAGAGCGTTGAATAAGTTTAAGAAAGAGGAAAGAGTAGAAAGGAAAACTGGATCAAGAGGTCAAGAAGAGGGGGTCATCATTTCAACTTAGATTTAAAGGGATCAGTTAGAAAAGATGCAACACAATGCATAAGACGTTTGGTACTTCGGAAAGGAGATTCAGCTAAGACAGTCCAAAGAGCAGTGAAAAAAGACTTGAAAATGAAATCGTATGTGAAACATATGAGGCACCTTGTTACTCCAGGACAGAAAGTTAAAAGGTCAGTTAGAGAGAAGATCATCTTGAATTAAGTTAGAAAATGTGCCTCATACTAACTTCGAGGAGACTTCCCCTGGCTATGGAAAAAATTGAGGATATTTGTGGTATAAGAAATGTCGAAATCAATCGTATTAACCGGCTAAGAGACGAAAGAAAAGGGCGAGATGAGTCAGTAAATCTTCCTGTAGCTATATCAACCACGCTGTTGCACAATATGTGAACTTGTATGCAGGTCACGAGCGGGAATAAAGTGTCATATTCAGCATGAGTTTGCCAGATCCTCGCATGCCGAAATCGCCAGGAGAGTCCATCATGATTATATATATATATATATATATATATATATATATATATATATATAATAAAAAAGGCTTAAAACACTAATATTACTACTTTTTATTATATCCTTACTCTGTCCTAGACATTGAGTTCTACCTGGATTCTTCCTCTTGGAAAATTTTTTTCTGAAAATATACATGTATGGGTATTTATATATTTTGCATATGTATGTATATTTTCCACTAATATTATATATATATATATATATATATATATATATATATATGTATGTAGTACAGGTAATCGATCCGTTGGTATATAAACCGGGTGGATCCTAGTAATATTAATTATTAAAATTGATCCACAGAAAGCTCTACGTATTTATTATAACAGGGCATATGCATTTTTTACACCCGAAAAAAAGTTACTTCAACATGGGTATAGTCTAATTCAAGCCGTACTGTACACGATTATCATCATAGAAGTGCTTGAAATAGACTATATGTTGAGGTAATTTTTTTGCTGTAATATATATATATATATATATATATATATATATATATTAAGAAATGGACAAGGTCCGACAATTTATTTATTAAAGACATATTTTTATGTTTAACGTTGTTATTTTATAGATACAAGTATTTAAGCAAATGCTCTGTTTATGATAAACAGTATTAAATAACATTTACCGGCCTGAATGTCCGAGAAATTTTCATAAAATTTTCTATAAAATAACAACGTTAAAAAATAAATATATATATATATATATATATATATATATATATATATATATATATATATATATATACATATATATAAGCGAACATTGAAGTCACACTCAGAGGCGACAGACTGTTTCATGGCCTGATGATTGCTTTTAACATGTAGTTTGTCGCCTCTGAGCGTTGACTTCAATGTTCACTTTTATATTTCATACGCTCTATCTCTGATATTGAGCACTTTATCCCATAATTATAGTATAACTTAAACTATTATTTCTTTATATATATATATATATATATATATATATATATATATATATATATATTCGACGTATAAGGTCAAGTAGTTCTTCTCGGCCGTTCGGCATACGCAGACTGAAAATAGATGAATTGATCGAAATAGATTTGATTTTGAAAGATAGATATGAACAGATCAAGATAGATAGATAGATAAATTTGAACAGAGTGTGATAGATAGATAGATAGATAGATAGATAGATAGATAGATAGATAGATAGATAGGAACAGAGGGGAAGTGAAGAAGGCAAAAAATTTAAAATGAAGTTTACATGAAAGCCATTGATCGTGAAATATTTTCAGCTATTCCACCGTATAACGCAGCGTACCTGACTACCTCGAGGTACCCTTATCTCCCAGGTACAATCGAGAGATATTGCTCCACCAGATCTTTTGATGGCGTTGATAACAGAGTAAGGGACATCCTCTTCCGACACGACTCCGTCCTGTTCCTTGGCGTTGATAAAAATTCGGCAAACTGAAATAGAAAAAGAAACTGAAACAAAACTCTGCCGTTTCCTTTAATAATGAAAAGCAATCAATGAAACCTCACCTATCTTTCTCTTCTTTCATAACATAAGAAAAAAATTCATTGGAACAAACGATGAGTATCGATTGTGAAAGAATTGGTTTCTTACAAGCATTGAAGAAAATAATCCGTAGATTCAACATCGCAGACTGAAATGCTATGTGAATGGTGGCATTTTTACATTGATATACAAGGCCCAAGAGCCAGTCAAGGTAGAGGGTTATAGAGTAAGAAGCAAATATCATGCGGATATATGGGGAAGATAAAGTTTAACCCTAGACTTGAACTTAAGGCTATGTTGATCGGGATAGCTTCCTCCTGAGAGCTATTTCCACAAAACAGCGGTTCATAAGAAGAATCTGCTCCAGGCGAACTTACATCTCACCAATGAAATAGGAAAGAAGTGGCGGTGGTTCGCTAAAATGGGCGTGACATGGGACGGGTCTTATCCATGAAGTTTAAAACTACTGGAACGAAGTAATCGCCTTTCTTGCATGGATCTCAGCTTTTAGATTAGGTATTGGAAATCTATGCTTATCAGTCCACTGACTGGGATTAAGGAAATTATTTTTAATCCAGTGGGTACGCTTCCACTGCTGTACAAAAACTGCGACATCTCAGTGCATTCCAAGTTTACTCCACCTCTGAATTCAGAGCTGGGCACTAAACCCTTAATACATTAAACGCTTTGACTAATAAAGTTAACGTTTTTGCCAAAACTAAGTTGACTGTGTAGATTTATCGCAATGCGAATCTACCAGGAAGAAGTCTCGGGCGTTTCAATGATAACGACGATGTGTTTACCTGTCTTGAGACATTTTTTTTCTAAGGGTCTATATGAAAAGATAAGTCTATAACCAATCTCTTCTTACAAGCCTAGAGGAACTTCGGCGGAGAATCATTGAAAGACTTGAAAATGTTACGCAACACATGCTACAACGTGTTTGGCAAGAGCTGGACTACCGACTTGGCATGATTCATGTCACAGGTGGTACGCATATTAAACATTTATAAAGCTTAGTTTGGTTTGTTGTTGTTTGGTTTGTTTTGTTTTATGGCATATAAACCTCAATGGGTTATTTAATGCCGACAGTTTTTTTTCTGGTAATATTTTGTTTTCTCAAAAATCTATTCCTGGTAATATTTTTTCCTCAAAAATGTACAGCTGGTAATACTATTTTAAAACATGTATTGCTAGTAATATTTTTTTTTTCAAAAGTATATTTCTAGTAATAGATTTTTTTTTTTCAAAATTTATTTCTGATAATAATTTTTTACAAAGTATTTCTGGTATTAAAACCTATTTTTAAACTTTTATAATGCTTTTTACCTCAGTTTCGGGATTAACAATTTTCCCATAGCTGGGACCCTAGCAGGTGCTACCACCCCGTGTCACGTTGGACCTGGGAACACCAGCAATTAAGAGGTGGTTTCACGCTCCTCAAAACCTCCTGATCAGAGGCCTTGCTGTTAGACGTAGTTTATCGTCTTACCCAGGACACGGATGTAGTTTATCGTCATACCCAGGACGCGGATGTAGTTTATCGTCTTACCCAGGATGCTGATGTGGTTTATCGTCTTACCCAGGACGCGGATGTAGTTTATTGTCTTACCCAGGACGCATGAAGCTTAGTGAAATCAATTATAAAATCTACATCCCTTTGAATATCTTGTCCAAATTTTGATAAATAAATCTTTTATTGTTCTGTTTTCCTGAGACACTGAGATATACTTGTTCAGATATTCACATTTGAAATTATGTCAATTGTAGGGAAGGGGGATGTATATACCCAAACCCTTAATCGCTTTCATTAACAAAGTTAACATTTTCACCAACGATTCAAACTCTAAGCCAACTTTGAACGCCATCATATGTATATATTTATATATATATATATATATATATATATATATATATATATATAGAAAAGTTTCAAATTGAAAATTATAATGTTTTATTTTATGAAAGTATTTATTTATTTATATATATATTTGATATTTCAAATTGTCCTCAATTTTTCATCAGAAATAAATGTTTGTTACAAATAAATTAAAATTACTGTTTGTTAGCAAGTAGCGTCCTTCGCGAGACGCGGACGTCACGTGATATGCAACGTCACTGTTCGGATATTCCTAACTTAAATCTAACTGTCATAAATATTTAAAACAATTTTTTTACTATATCTAAAAAAAAAATTGCTTAACTATTGAAATATTTATAAAGATTTAAAACACCTAAGTCCCTATTCAACCCTAGTTTATGTGTATTTAATTTTAAAATCCATGTTTCTTTTTTTTTCTGCGTGAATGTTGAAGTAAAATCGGAATCTATTAATAAACATTTGCAGTTTTCTAATGTGTGTCCTGATTGATTGTAGTGTTTAGCTATGGGGGGAATAAGGGTTGTTTTGACGTATTGTTTGTTTATGGTTATTAAAACGAAATCTAAATTGTTTCCAGACTCACCAATATATCCACTATTAGGACATAAGTTGCAGAATAAATAATAGATTACGTTATGGGTATCGCAGGTGAGGTTAGGTGGCTGTATCCTGATATTGGTGTTGGGTACTGAAAATGTATTAGCTATTATTAAATGTTTGCAAACTAAGCAACGAGGTTTGTTACATTTGTAATTTCCTGTTTGGTTTCTATTGTTTAGATATTTGGTAGAGGTGAGGATAGCTGATAAGTTAGGTGATTGTTTCATTGCATTTATGGGTGGTTTATCGAAAATGTCTTTGATCTTGTTGTCTAATTGGAGGTTCTTGTAATCATTTTTTAATTTGTGAATAAGTGTGTGCGAATATTGATTGTGGTTAAAAACCATGGGAATCCGATTGTTGTTTTTATTTTTCTTGGATGTGAGAAGTGTGTTACGATTTATCAGGATAGTTTTATTTAGTGCTTCTTTTATTATTTTTATTGGGTATTTGCATTTTAGGAATTGTTTTGTTAAGTTATTAATGTTGTATAGAAAATCTAAATGGTCTGAGCATATGCGTTTGATTCTTAGAAATGAGCTATATACAATAGATTTTTTTAATTTAAAGGGATGACAGCTATTAAAGTGCAGGAATTTATGTTGGTTTGTGGGTTTATTGTATAGACTGGTAGAAAGTGTATGTATAGTAATTTTAATTTATTTGTAACAAACAGTTATTTCTGATGAAAAATTGAGGACAATTTGAAATATCAAATATATATATATAAATAAATAAATACTTTCATAAAATAAAACATTATAATTTTCAATTTGAAACTTTTTCTATATATACATATTAAGAAAGTATACGTGGCTTCTCATTATGCTATATATATATATATATATATATATATATATATATGTGTGTGTGTGTATGTATGTATGTATGTATGTATGTGTTGAAACTTGACTAATGCATGGAATAATAATGCAACACAAAATGTACTTAGAACAAAATATACCGAAACAAGAAAGTGTGCACAATATTTACATATAGTCTTTTGTATATTCCTGGTAAGACCGTTCCTGGAGAATGTGTTGACTGAGTCACAGTCGGGCAGAGTCTCTGGTTGAATCTCTTGATTCCTCCCTCTCTTCCCGGTACCAACCATATTTATATGGTCGGTACTCCACTATGCAAATTAGGTGGATCCTACCACAACAGTATGTAAATGCCGTAAAAGTTAAAATCACTAGAACCAAGTATTACCTTTCTTGCATGGATCTCAGCTTTTAGAGTAGGTTATGGAAATATTTATGCATGCCAATCAACTGACTTGGGTTAAGAAAATTATTTTTAATCTAGTGGGTACGCTGCCACTGTTGAACAAAAACTAAGACATCTCAGTGCACTGCAAGTTTATCCCACATATGAATTCAGAGCTGGACACCAAACCCTGAATACATTAATCGCTTTAACTAACGGAGTTAACATTTCCATCAACGATTCCACCTCTAAGCCAACCTTGAACGCCATCATGGCATCTTGAACTTGAGTCTGTTGATGTCGTCGAAGTTAAAACTGCCAGTGCCACTAGACATCGACAGGAAGAGGCTATGAACTTAAAGTTATCCGTTTATCGATAACTTCCGTTACATTTTTAAAGAACTAACTGATTAACGGTTAACAAATTTAATTTTTGGGTTAGCGAATTGTCGGTTTACGAGGTTAACTTTTTGATTAACGTTGCCCACCTGTAATGATTCTCAAAGTTAACTTAAAAGTCAAATCTCCAACGAAAATGACAACTTGGTTAATCAACAATTAACTGAGTAACAGTTTCATGTCTAGCTCTCTATTAATATGACTCATGTTTGTGTTGTTCAATGTATATAAAATATTTTCATGTATGACTAATATTTCGAATTCATTTCTTTGAGTAATTTTAGTCCTTCCTTCTATGGTGTTAAGCTGCTAGTATTACATCGATATACTAATGTCTATTGTGGACATTGGAGAGTAGAAAAAAATCAAGATATTTTTCTCTCTTTCTTATTACCACCCTTTGAAGTTTTGAAACTTGAACAGTTATTCTCTGTTTTCTGGGATTCAAAAATAATGTTAGCTTTGTCTGACACAAGGTCACAATAATAGTAAACCGAATGAAGATCCATAAACTTATTTATTAACCTTTGAAACTAGCTTGTTAATCATCATGACATGGTAGAGATTCAGTTTTTCAGCAGCTAACTGATCAATGTTTTACGAATTTAACTTTTTGATCAACGATGCTCACTTGTGATGATTCTCAAAATCGACTTAAAAGTCAAATCGCCAAGGTAAATGACAACTTCGTTAATCAAAGATTAACGAATTAACGGTTCTTTGCCCAGCTCTGAATTGGATTAGTAGTTTAAATGATACATTCGTCATTTCATTTGGTTCACAAAAACGGAAATTACTTGTAATTCACCCTAATATTAGGTTGTTCCAAAAGTTCGTAAACACTTGCGAAAAATTGAATTTTTATGCAACACAATCCAGCACAATCCAGACAAGCGATGGGTTCAGAAAGGGCAAGAGACACCGTCGGTTCCAAAACAAGATCGATTCGGCAAGAAAGTCATGTTGTGCGTTTGGTGGAACTTTGAAGGAATCGTGCATTTTGAGTTGGTTCCAAATGGTCGTGCCATCAGTGCCGAACTTTACTGTCAGCA